TCCCCTGTTCGTTCGTTCATTCATTCATTCACATTCTCTCTCTCTCTCTCAAAAATAAACAGGGGCACCTGGGTGTCTCACTTGGTTGAGCATCCAACTTCAGCTCAGGTCATGATCTCACACTCCTCTCACTCATGCTCTGTCTTTCAAAAATAAGTATTTTTAAAAATTTAAAAACAAACATACATTTAAAAAGTGTTTTAAAGAACAGAGGACAGCCTCTACCTTATTCTCCTGTCCCTAAAACAATGAAGGTCCTTTAAATTTTTGTTTTGTTTTGTGGTGGTGGTTGGTTGGTTTTTAGCCTCTAATGAAGAAAAATAGAAGAAATGTTTCCTTTACTCATCTCCTTTTTTTGCCAGACCCAATAAAGAAACACAATTTCCCTCTTGGATTCTTGGAAAAGACTTAATCATTCACATTTTAAAGAAAAGTTAAAGAACCTAGAATGCATGCTGTCAGAAGATGGGCCCAGGAAGAGCCTTGGATAGAACATAGGAAACAGATAATATGGCCAAAGATGGCATTTTCTATCACCAGAATTGCGGTTAGAAAGACAGGTTAGCCACGGGAAATAAATTGTTAGACCCACACTTCACATGTAAGCCAACTTTTACCTCTTCTACAAGGGTGCGGGGGCATGGGGGATCATTCATCTTTCACTCAGGAAATATCTGTTTGTTGAGTGACTACTATGTGTCAGACACCATATTAGATGACATCTTAGGCTCAGAGCTGGACTGGAGTCTTTCCTCAGCCAGTCCCATCATTGTCCACTGCTTTCTGAACCCAGATTACCCACAGGCAGATTTCTCAGTCACCTCTGGCTTTGCTAGATTTTCAAGCACAAAAAAAATGAAGAAGTTACCACTTTCCAAGGAACTACTAAGCACTGGCTCAATCAACCATCACATGCTCCCTATGCAGCAAGTACTATTATTATGTCCATTTTAAAAATGAAAAGGTGAGCCCAGGGTATTTTCACTATTTGCCCAAGTCACACAGCTGGTAAGTAGCAAGCTCTTGGTTAGTGGGCTGCCTCCAAAAAATGTGAGCTCTTATTAACAGCACTTCTTCGATCTTTTCCCCTTCCAGTTCACGCTGCCCTTGCTGCCTACCCAGCAGTGCAGGTACACATGGTATATATCTCACCAAGTCCATGCTTGCCATCTTGTCTCCAACTTGAAGTCAGACATGATTTAAAGGCAGGACTAACATAAAAGCCCGAGTTTGTATAGCTAGTTTTCATCATCGACCACAGGCATGAACCAACTCTCCATCAAGGAACCTAAATTCTTCTACTGACCTAAAAGCTCATGCAATCAATTCCTCACTAAAAGAAGGGGCTCAGGCTCCTCCCCAGCACCATCCCAAAACTGTCCCCAAATATTAAGGTCTAGCAGTGCCCAAATTTCTATGGGTTAAACTGTGATGCATGAGTTTGCCTATGAAGACCTGAGAGCATCATAATTCAAGAAAGGCAGATGGCAAGCTGTGCGAGATTCTGGAGATAATTGAAATTGACCCATAACTCACCAGCCACCATGGGAAATTCTATCACTTTGTACACTTTGCTTCCATAGCTAAAAATCAAATCAGGGGAACACGATCAGACTTCTAATTTGAAACCTTGGACATGCAATGTCATCTTTAATGACTCCCAGCAAAAGATGCTCATTACAGATCTCAGCCTACCTAAATTAAAACATGAAACCTAAAAACTAAGCAGAAAATAAGCAATTTCTCAGGTCTAGACGGTCACAGAAAAGTCACAAGTGAGAATACATGTACTCCTTAGGGTTTTGTTATGCCTGCAAATATCTGAGCAGGAATTATGAAAGAAAAAAGCTAGAAGGAAAAAAGTAAATAAACCCATTGAATCCTAACTTTCAGGTCTGGGCCATCTAGGTGAATAGCAATTTTTCATGACCAATTTGAACTAATTAGCATGTCAAGGAACATTCTCTCTCTGCTGATGGCCAATTTGATCTATTCTATGATGTAGAGCTCAGATTCCTCTGATACAGTAGGCTGCTGGCTTCAGGTCTTCTCTGTTAAGTGAGCTGAACTATGGTGCTATCAGTGTGGTTTTCAGGTGTGTAAGCTGCTTTTAAAATGGGAGGCTAAAAATTCATCTCTCATTATCAGCTCTAAACTTCACATCAGTGTGGATTTTCTAGAAGGTCAGGTAACTATTAGACATTCTGCAGAGACTTTTTTTAAAAATTTTTTTTATATTTTATTTATTTCTGAGAGAGAGAGAAAGGCAGCATAAGCAGAGGAGAGGCAGAGAGAGAGAGGGAGACACAGAATCCGAAACAGGCTCCAGGCTCTGAGCTAGCTGTCAGCACAGAGCCTGACACGAGGCTCGAACCCACGAACCATGAGATCATGACCTGAGCTGAAGTCGGACCCTTAACCGACTGAGCCACCCAGGCGCCCCTGCAGAGCCTGTTTTTAAACCTATTCCCTTCACTTCCATCTACTCTGCCCTGTGTGTCACCATATGAGTGGCTGCCTCTGACCAGAATAATCTGCATCACCAGCTGCCACATCTGTTCATGACCCAATTCTTCTCACACCTATATCCAGGAAGAGGAAGAAATTCCATCGGCAGCAAGGCCTCAATAGATGACCCAGAAATATTAATGTAAAATTAGATGTAAACAGAAATTACAAAATCACCACTTTACTTTCCGTCGATGTGCATTTTACAGAGAAAGGGTAGAGAGCAGGGACAAGGGCCGCTGTGGGGTTAGGCCACCAGAGCCTGAACACAAACATGGCAAACTTCCTCCAAAGGGCGGAGATACCTCAGAGTTGACCTCCCTAAATTCAACTACTTAATGTGGAACAGTCATTGTATGGCAAGAATGAAGGCCGAGGTGTTTCTAAGTATAACTGGCAAACCCTTCAGCAAACTAAAAATTGTGAAAGGGGAAATCTACACCCATGTATGCCTAGAAGAAAGCCAAGATAAAAGTCTAGGTCCCTCCCAGGAAGGACCATGGTTGTTATTACATCACATGTTCTCGTAAACCCTGCCTCCCCAGGACCACATCACTCCGGGGGCTCACCCCAGAGCCTCCACCTCACGGTAACTTGTATTACTCTTACCTGTTTGTCTTAAAACTTGAACTGGGAGGGAGGAGAGAGTGTTTCAACAACCTGGAGTCTACACGATTTCAGTTTAGTTCTAATAAAAAAATGACAAAAGTCTTGGCAGAAATGCTCTCTCTGCCTTTGTTGTGTATATACAACAGAGGATTTGGGACCAAAAAATAATTAACTGAAATAATAAAGGACAAGAAGAGAGGATTCTGAATGTGAAATAGAGTCAACAGTCTAAACTGCCTTTTGTGACAATCAGTGGGTAGAAATTTATGGACAAGGGGCCTAGAGTCAGCATGCCTGCCCAGTAGTCAGTTTTTTTTTTTTTTTTTTTTAATATGCCAGCCAAGACTGGAGTAGCCCTTTAGAAGAATATGCTTCCTAAGAAATGCATCAGGGCAAGCATTCACAAAGAGGGAGAGGGACCATGCTAGGTGCACACCAGTCACTGGTGATGTGACCCCAAATCATGCTGGGTCCCAACCCATTTATTCAGTAAATTACTTTCACGAGTAGGTCAAAAGTTAACAGAGCCTCCCAACCAGGCTCACCTTTTAACCAAGAACTACTCTGTGGGCTCCTGGCTAGAGAAAACCCCCTTTCTACCATTTCCCAACCCTGCCATTAAAACTGGGCTGCCTATAATAGTTGATGAATTAATTAAGAGCAAATCAAAGTAATTACTTAACATTGCATGCAAAAACCACATGAAATTTCTAATCCCAATAAGCAAACTGAACCAATAACAACATGCATTTACAGAGACTTAAAAAAAATCTCAGCATCTATCATCAGTTATAATGGGAAACCAGGATGTTGCGGGCTATCCAACTCTTTTTTAAAAGCAACACCAGATATGGTATTACTCACTAAGCTCCTCCTCTACCTGGGTCCTGGCTCTTCTGCCTACGGAGATGAAGGATGGAAGGTGCCATGTGAATGAGCCCGAATGGCAACTCTGAGCAGGGTCAAGGCTGGGGTGAGGGAAATGGAGGTGCCTAAAAAGTGCTGACTCCCATGGCTGCACAAGTCCCCAGTCTAAGCTTTGTACATTAGGTTTGCAATTGCAAAACAAAGCCCAGTCACAAGTTACATACTGGAAGTGCTAAGAAACACACAGCAGCAAGCAAGCCCATCTGGAGAATAACAATAAGAAACAGCAGGGGGGCTGAGGGATCTTTTGGAACAAAAGCTCCAGGCCAACCATAAAGTTTATGGCAAAATCAAGAAGAGTAAGAAAACTCGCAAAACGCATCTATCCATGGGCACCAAGTACAGGAATAATAAAAGGGTAAAAGCTAACATTTGTAAACATCTACTGTGTGCCAAATGCCTTAAATGCATTAGATTATTTAATATTCGAAACTCCTGCATGTGGGCATCATCACCCTCACTATTATTATTACCATTTAAGAGAGAACTAAAACTTAGAGAAATTTAGTAAATTGTCCCAGACCTGAGAGCTAGTAAATGCCAAACAGGGACCTACGCTCATTTCCTAAGTCTGTTTTTGTTTTTGTTTTTTTTAACCTAACAGTCCCACATACACAGAGGTCATTTTTGAGAAAAACAGAGAGCAACAAAATGATCAGCATCTTGCAGCATATCCCAAGTTATTAAGAAACCATTGAAACATAACCCTTTGTGCATCTGTACATAGACTTAGGGAGAAATTTTCTTATTTCACATATCTTCATAGCTTGACAGTATTTTTGAGTGGTTCAAAAAGCATGGACTGTCATCCTACTAGACAGATGAAGAAACCCAAGTGCCAAATGTGGTCTGAGTGAGGGACAGAGGTTTGGTGGCCCAAACCCTTTGAAGTTTGTCAAGCCATGGTTCCCCCCACTGGACATCCCCAAAGGGCTTTAAATAACCAAGCTACTGACCTCCACATCCCCGTGAAACTGAACATGGTGCTCACACAGCGAGGGAGGGGTGGTGGTGTGAGTCCATCCAGACGCATGAGCAGAGCTGGGACACCAAAAAGCACCAAGTACTTCAAGTAGAAAAAGATCACTTGAGCCAATGCCAGTCCTCCTGAAAGACAGAGGGACCCATCAGACACAAAGGTAAGCAATAGAGCAATCTCCTGGGAAAGACACAGCATTCCTGAAAACACACCATCTGTTGCCACTTCTCCACCCCTCCACTTTCTTCTCCTTACCTCACACATTACAGAAAGTTTGGTTCTCATTGGTTTTGAGCAATGAGAACTTTGGATTAACAAATATTAAAAACCCCTTTATTGGGAAAAAATAGTTGGGGAGAGGGAGGAAGGCAAACCATGAGAGACTCGAATGCTGAGAAACAAACTGAGGACTGATGGGTGTGGGGGGAAGGGGGAGATGGGCATGGAGGAGGGCACTTGTTGGGATGAGCACTGGGTGTTATATGGAAACCAGTTTGACAATAAACTATAAAAAATTTTTTTAAAACCCTTTATTATTGTAATGGGCAACAGGACCTCTTAGTAATGATGCTTTTATAGATATAATACTTAAAAGTGTTTTATATATATATTTATACATTTAAATTACATTTGTACATACAGGTTTGTGTACGCACACACATTATGAATTTAAAAGCTGTCAGAAAGGGAAAATCCTCCCCAGATCTTTCCAAAACTTCACGAGTTCACACCCACTAGGATGGCTAAAATCAAAAAGTCAGATCAACAAGAGTTGATGAAGATGTGGAGAAATTGGAACTGTCACACACTGCTGGTAAGAATATAAAATGGTGCAGCCAGTTTGCAAAATAGCTTGGCATTTCCTGAAATGATTAAACTTAAAGTTATCATATGACCCAGCAATTCCACTCTTTGGTATATATCCAAGAAAAATGAGAAGAGATGCCCACACAGAAACTTACACGCAAATGTTTGTAATAGCATGATTCACAATAGCCAAAAGATAAAAACCACTAAAATATCCATCAACAGAAGAATAAACTAAATGTGGTATATCCACCCAATGAAATATTATGTTGCCTTACTAAAGAATGAAATACTGGGACACGTGGATGGCTCAGTTGATTAAGCATCTGACTTCAGCTCAGGTCACGAACTCACGAACCGTGAGTTCAAGCCCAATGTTGGGCTCTGTGCTGCCAGCTCAGAGCCTGAAACCTGCTCTCCCTCTCTCTGTTCCTCCCCTACATGCCCTCTCTCTCTCTCTCTCAAGGATAAATAAGTATTTTTTAAAAATGTTTAAAGGAATGAAATACGGACATGTGCTACAACATGGATGAATCTTAAAACACCATGCTAAGTGAAATAAGCCAGTCATGAAAGACCACATCTTATATCCATTCATATAAAAGTCCAGAATAAGGCAATAGACCAAAATAGAAAGTTGATTACTCGTTCCCCAGCACTAGAGACGTAGAGGATGGGATTATGGGCGGGGGTGGGAGAGGATGGCTAAAGGGTAGGGTTTCTTTTTGAAGTGATAAAAATATTATAAAATTGGCAGTGGTGATAGTTGCACATATCTGTGCATATACTAAAAGCCACTGAGTTGTATACTTTAAGTGAGTGAACTGTATGGATGTGTGCCAGATCACAACACAGCTGTTAACAACAAAGCAAAACAAAACAAAATAAACCCCAGGAGGACCCCAGGCTACAACGGCCTCTTGGCCGGAATTGCACCTTTTGAGGATGAGAAGAAGACAGGATGTGGACACTGGGCAAGATATGAGGTCTGAGATGCATGCTACAGCCCACACAGGCCTCTCTCTGTCCCCACCGGGAATGACCTGGGTCTGCAGCTAGGGCTCACTGTGCTCAACCAACCACCACTCCTCTGGTTCCCTGGCTGGCGGCTTTGACCTTTGGAAGTCAGACTGCAATCATGTGTGTTGAAAGGGCTGGGTATGAAATAGTAGCACTGCTGGATGTATCTACAGCAGTCAAGAAAGACAAGCTGATGTGTGTATAATAATATATATGCATTAGGTGTGTATATATACACACTTGTCAAGAAGTGGGATATATGTGCTAGCAATACCATCTAAAAAGTATTTAGGGAGCATATAACGATACCGAATGGGGAAGAAATCCATTCCACTGGCCAAGATGGCAATGAGGGGGACTCTAAAATACTCTAAAATGAACCACCGGACTCTAGTCAGAAAAATCCCAAAGCTAAAAAAGACAGGGCACAAATTAAAGGGCACAAAGCCTCCAAAGCTGAAAATGATCAGCCTGAAGAAGTAAAGGCATTTGAAGACCCAGGGAGGCCTGTGCAAGGTTAAGGCCACTGGGAGCTCTTTCAGATATGAGACATCAGAAACTTCTTTTCCCTGTTAACAGGTGCAAGATCAGGGAGAACAAGATACTTCCTGCTCAAACATTGCCTTTAATAGGACGTGGGTTTTGTACAGTTATCTCCTAGGAGCATAGGAGTAAAATCTGTCAGATTTCCGGGGCACCTGGGTGGCTTAGTCAGTTAAGTGTCCAACTTCAGGTCACCATCTCGCAGTTCATGGGTTCGAGCTTGTGTCAGGCTCTGTGCGGACAGCTCAGAGCCTGGAGCCTGCTTCAGATTCTGTGTCTCTCTCTTTCTGCCCCTCCCCTGCTGGTGCTCTCTTTGTCAAAAATAAACATTTTTTTTAAAAAATTTAAGATTTATTAAATGGTCTATTTCATTTAAATATTTCATAATTTCAGTTCTAGCATCCTCTCATCGATATCATGCATGAGGAAGTAGCATTAACACCACTATTACACATTACCTTATAGGAGTTTTTATACTTGCATATATTTTCTACCACACTACAGGTGGCTCAAAGCCCATGACCACATGATTAAACACAGGAGTTTTAATAGCACATGCCCAATAAAGAAGAGCCTGTCCAGTGAATGCTGCTCATAGTGGGAGGTTCTTCCCAGGAATAAAGGTAAGGGTCCAAGTTTTATAAGATCCTCTGAAACTGTTAGATTCCCCTATTGACTCAAACAACTTAGCATCTGCCTAATGAAAAGTCTTCATGAACCCAGAATGGGTCAAGCTGTGTCTTATGCCAGAGTTTGCCAAGGATTGGGGAGAGTTTGCCACAGACTGGAAAAGAGGCCCCTCAACTCTTGACCAGCCAGCTGCAGAGCTACCCTCTTTCTATATCCAGCCCTGCCCTCAAGACTCCCAGTTTTCTATGCCCACGAGCTTGTGTGCCCTGACTCACCACTACACTCCAACCTCCAGTCTATGCTGGGCTCTCGCCTCCATCCATGGCCTGACTTCATCTCTGAACCTTTTCTGCTCCAAGGAAAATAACCCCAGCCACTTCTACCATGTCTACATCTAACCTATTCTAGATTTCGCTTAAATGCTCCATGACTTAGTCTGTGCAGATTCAGGAAAACTAGACATTTTATAAAAGTTGCTTCTCAGGGGAAAAATAGTGGGGGAGAGGGAGGGAGGCAAACCATGAGAGACTCTTGAATGCCGAGAACAAACTGAGGGCTGATGGGGGTGTGGGGTAGGGGAAGGGGGGTGATGGGCATGGAGGAGGGCACTTGTGGGGATGAGCACTGGGTGTTATATGGAAACCAAATTGACAATAAACTATTTAAAAAATAAATAGTTTCTTCTCATATTAAGTTCTTTATAAGAATGTCTCATGCCTACAGTTAACAATACTGTATTTTACATTTTTTAAATAGATCTCAGAATGTGTTCTACCACAGTTTTTTAAAGAACCTTTCATTATATAAGATCCAGGATAAGAATCAAATGTATAAAGATTAATGAAGATCTGAACAAACCAATTACCAGCAAAGACATTAAATCAATAATTTAAAAACTCCCAGCAAACACAAGTCCAGGACCAGATAGCTTCAGAGGCAAATTCTATCAAGCATTTAAAGAAGAATACCTATTCTTCTCAAATTCTTCCAAAAAATAGAAAATGAAGGAAAACTTCCAGATTCATTCATTAAGCTGGCCCCAAAACCTCATAAAGACACCACACACACAAAAAAGAGAACTAACGGTCAATATCTCCAATAAGCACATATGCAAAAATCCTCCACAAAATACTACCGACCAAATCCAAAAATACTTTTTAAAAAATCATTCACCATGGTCAAGTAGGATTTATTCCTAGGTTGCAAGAGTAGTTCAGTATTTGCAAACCAATATGATACATCACATCAATAAGAGAACGGGTTACGAACCATATGAAGATTTCAATAGATGAAGAAAAAGCATTTGACAAAGTACTACATCCATTCATGATAAAAACCCTCAACAAGGTAGGTTTACAGGGAACATACTTCAACATAATAAAGGCCATTTATGAAAAACCCACAGCTGACTCATCCTTAATGGGAAACAACTGAGTGTTTTCCCTCTAAGGTCAAGAATAAGACAAGGATGTCCACTCTTACTGCTTCTATTCAACATAGCACTGGAAGTCCAGCCTCAGCAATCAGATGACAAAAAAGAAATAAAAGGCATCCAAACAGGCAAGGAAGAAATAAAACTTTCACTATTTGCAGATGACATGATGCTCTATATAGAAACCCTCAAAGACTCCACCAATAAATGGCTAGAACTGATAAACAAATTCAGTGAAGTCCCAGGATACAAAATCAATGTACAGAAAGCTGTTGCATTTCTATACACCAGTAATGAAGCAGCAGAAAGAGAAATGAAGAAAACAATCCCATTTATAATTGCACCAAAGACAATAAGATACCTAGGAATAACACTCACCAACAATGTGAAAGGTCTGTACTCTGAAAACTATAGAACACTGATGAAAGGATCTGAAGATGATCAGAAATGGAAAGATATTCTAGGCTTATGGATTGAAAGAACAAGTATCATTAAAATGCCTATACTACCCAAAGCAATCTACACATTTAATGCCATCCCTGACAAAATACCACCAGCATTTTTCAGACAGCTAAAACCAACAATCCTTAAAAAATGTGTATGGAACCACAAAAGACCCTGAAAGCAATCTTGAAAAGCAAAACTGGAGGCATCACAATTCCAGACTTTATAAAAGTTTCCTATAAAAGTTATAAA